TATATATATATATATATATATATATATATATATATATATATATATACACACACATGCATACATACATACACACACACACACACATACATATAAAATTGTGTGTGTGTGTGTGTAAAACAAACAACTATATTTCTACAAATAAGGACATTACCATTTATCTGCTCAAGCAGTGCTATTATTAAATAAAGTTTTACAGTGCTGTAACTGTTTATAAGCAGTTGGTGCTCTGAGTAAATGAGAGATTACAATATGCTACTTCTGACCATAATGCAGATTTTTATGGGAATATGTACTGTACTCGTTATTAGGGTGGGGTGGATAAAAGTCTAATTGGACTTGTAGTCAAATAAAGAATTTTGACCTGTCTGCAGCAAAACTTTTGTAGTAATCCAAACATCAGGATATATCTTTACAATAGTAATTTTCATGGGTCAGAGCTTCCTTCATCAGAGACTAAAGTTAGACTTGTGCAACATGGTTTTTTTTTCATAACTCTTGGCCTTGTATGAACCCAAATACTAGAATTTATAAATTACATTGATAGTTTATAGAAATTATATGAATCCAGCCAATTTCAAATTTGTCCATTCAAGCAACCATACCATATGAAATCACAGATATACAGTATTTAGCAAGTAGCCACGAAGATATTCATGCATAAGATACTTAAGGGAAGAAGATAATGTTGTCACTATGGACTAGAGAACATATGGAAGGACTTCAGAATGTATCCATCAGATTTGATTACTATACTCTGACAACATCTGTATCTTTCCAGGATAACTTTCCAGACTAATGGTCAAATAAACAATGTGTGAAATTTCATACAGCTCTTAGAAATGCTACATGTCATTTCTGTATCTCTGACCAATGCCTCCATATCATTCAAGGCTTAAAACTAGGCTTAAAAGAACTAGGATAACCTATCTCATCTAAGGATTATTTTTTTGGGGGGGGGGGTCATTGGATGATAGCTCTTAAGATCAGTTAGAGCAAATGATACTTTGGGCAGGGACAAGGATCTCATTGTCACCACCACTTCATTTACAGCTTGCAAAAAATGTGGATTAATTATGCAAAATGACTGTTAGAAGTTCTTACAAGCCAAGCCACGGAAGGAATCAAACATACAATGGGAGAACCAAAGAGATCCAAGTATCTTACCTAATTCCACACAAGTGTGGAACTGCCTGAAATTATGCTATTATAATACATGTGTGGTGGGTTCTTTGGACTGGCTTCGACACCAACACAAATCTGAACAATTTTAATAGAGAACTTCATAAATTGCTCACCATATTGCTCAGATGAGATCTGGGTGCTAGCCAGAGCCACTGAAGGGTATCTGCACATGGATTCCATTGGACTGTTGTCTGAATACAGTTCAGGGAAGGGATCCGGGTTTCCAACATTTCTTCTCTAGTTGGTGCTGCATAGATCTGATGGTGAATCCCCCATTATGCTTCTTTGTCTTTGCCCCTGGACCTACCTCAGAATTGTTCAAGTCTTCTCTATGTCTTAGAACCATTATGTGAGCCCTGATATAAAGAAAGGCAAGGAGCTACCCTTGCTTGGGAGCTACCATATTAAATGCCAGATATGTTTCAGTATTCTATATTCTGCATTTCAACATGGTCACTGAAAAACTGGGCAGTCAAATTGCAGAGAACATTGTTTAGAGCTACTTGGAATCAAATAAAACCTCTCAGTCTCTGCGGTGGACCCATCTGATATCATCCTTGCTCTTGACTAGGAGAAATGTTGCAGAGATCCAAATCTCCCAAAATATTACTAACTCAATGATAATAGTATCATTTCTGGGTCCACCGTATATTGGTTACCTGCATTCAAAACAAAAGTCAGATTGAGGATATGACCTGTCTTCTGTGATAGTTATGAACATTTCTTTTGAAACCTTTGGAAGCAGAGGTGGTATTCAGCAGGTTCTGACCAGTTCTGCAGAACTGCTAGTGGAAATTTTGAGTAGTTCAGAGAACCAGTAAATACTACCTCTGACTGGCCATGCCCCCAGCTATTCTGTGCCTCCCAAGTCCCATCTGATCAGGAGGGAATGAGGATTTTGCAGTAATCTTCCCCTTGAGTGGGGAGGGAATGGAGATTTTTGCAGTATCCTTCTCCCACCAAGCCATGCCCACAAAATCAATAGTAAAAAAAAATGAATTTCACCACTGGTGCCTGACTCCATCATACTTCTTGTAGTATTCAATATACATTTAAAGCAATATAAATACAAACAATGCAAAATGCAAGCAACCAAAAATATAACACAGAATTCTCACAAAACCATCACAGCTAGTCCTCAACCTATAACAGTTCATTTAGTGACCATTCAAAGTTACAACAGCACTGAAAAATGTGACTTATGACCATTTTTCACAGTTACAACCTTTGCAGCATCTCCATAATCCTGCTTTGCAACTGGTTCATATTTATCACCGTTGCTGTGTCCCAAGGTCTTGTGATCACCTTTTGTGATCTGACAAGCAAAGTCAGTGGGGAAGCCAGATTCACTTAACCAAGTTACTAACTTATCAGCTGCAGCGATTCACTTAACAACGGTGGCAAGAAAGGTGGCAAGAAACGCTGAAGGTGCACGGAACTTCCCACCAAAGGTGGTCCCTATTTTTCTACTTGCATTTTTACATGCTTTCGAACTGCTAGGTTGGCAGAAGC